TGAGGCTTGCTGCAGTATCTACAGATATCAGAAGAATAAAAAACAAGTTACAAAAATTTTATCATCATCTCTTAGACTTTTTCACGCATTTCACAGACAACAGTGCTGAAATTTTCCTCCAGACCAGGAGTTAAGGCCAGTCTTCTGTGTGATTAATGCCATATTTAATCCCCTTACAGGTAATAAAACCTGTTCTTAAAAATGTCCAGTGTTTTCTTCATAGCTCATTTTTCACACTGTTTCACCAGCCTTAATGAGAGAAAACCACCCTTACAGTTTAACCTTCAGGTTAACAAAAGGGGCTAAGGCAAGATTTGAACTTTCAGCCTCTTTGAACCCTCTGCAGTTCCAGCCCTTTACTTCTGACACTTCTATCACAGATATTAAAAAGAAGAAGAAAATGAGCACACACACGCACCAAAAAAAAAAAAAAGCAGAGGAAGCCTTGACCCAGGGGCATAAATAAGAATCCATACTTCCAGTACAGTCACTTGCCAGTATACCCTGGTAAAAGTCTTCTTGGAAATCTGTAGTTTCTTTTACTGTATTCAGATTAGTATAATGGAAAAAAAAAATCACAAAACCGGTTCAGCTCTGGCTTTCTAAATGGCAGATGTGATTTGGGGTTTTTTGGTTTTTGTTTTTTTTTTTTTTTACTGTCATTACTTGATTCAGTAATAAGCACCATCTTTCTATCTGATAGATGTTTAGGGGATTTTCCCTCCTCTCTTTCCTTTGCACTGACAAGCTCTTATCACTTCTCCACCAGGAAAAGAAGCAACTGAATGGCTCATGGAAGACAGAAGTGCTGAACTCAAGCATGACCTCAAGCACTGCTTTTGCATTAAAAGTGATTTCCCTTTAATGATCCTTTTCCTCCCTTCTCGATAAATCACACCTCTTACAGAATTATCTGATGTTAAGACACAGCAAATGATTGAACTATTAAAAGTCCGAATGTTACTAACCATAAATATTACTATAGTCATCATCCTAGCATTGAACATTACATGAGTACTGTCTTAACAATGAGTCTTTCCTAGTGCAACCTCTGAAACATTTGGCGATGGTGTTCTGAACACTCTGAGGTCTTGGTTTAATTTAGTGAGACTGAGCTACTCCTTCCTGAACAGTAAAAAGAAGCAAAGTAATTAAAATAATTTAGAGATACAGAGCTGCTTGGGGCCTTGAGAGATTTCTTCTTTTTCCCAGGTACAGTAAAGAATTGTTATTGATTGATGTGCATGAAACTGACTACTTAAATTTTCACAAAAAATGGATACTCTGCAATTCTTAATGACAGTTTTCTCCAGGGTTATGTAAACATCACCACTTACAAGGGTGGACTGTTTCACCCTTATGCTTAACCAGAATGTAGATAGCTGAAAATTAAAGTATTTCATATTCTGTCCTTAATGTCAAGAACTTCCCTCTTCCCTCAAGAGATACAGAAATGCATATATACCTAAAAATACGTGTGTGCATGTACTTAGTTATGTGTGTTGTGCATGTGCACACATTTACACACACTTCAAAGAAGAAAATTTTCCTTTACTTTATACATATGTATATATTTTTATGTTTCATTAAATATAAGCATTATACCATGAATGATGAGATAAACTATCAGGTATAACTACAAAAGACCCAGAAGTCATTCAAAAAAGAGGAATGTATATTCATACACTGTGTAATTACTGATGTTGCTGATGTTTTTAATGTATTTCCACATTGCTGAGGAGTTATGGTTGACAAGACAGAACTTCATTTTGTGCTCTGCAAACTCAGATCAAGTAAATTCCTGCCATCCTGCTCAGACCTGTTTGATAAACATCAGCTGTAGCAATGTGTAATCAACTTTCAGTTTATCAAGGTAAACAGTAATTATTAATATTCAGACATGCTTACCATGTAGAAAACAAAAATAAGCTGTTGTCTTTTCAAGTTTTCCTGGGTCTCAGCATCTCCATCACGGCTAGAACTACTGGTTAATTTATTTGCTGCAGTTTCCTATACAAAGCAGGGTACAATTCAGCTCTCCTTTCCCTACCTCCTACCTTAGCTCATCATTCCTACTCCACAGCAAAACTCTCCATCACTTCAAGTACTCTCTGTAAAACTCTCTGAGGGGCTGGGCTTCATATCATGTGAGAAAAATGTTTTGGATAAAAACTTTTTTTTTTTTTTTCTCTAATCAGATCACTTCAGTAATCTGCTACCTCAGTCCCCATGAGAGGACAGAGGAAAATACCCAGGAGAAGGGAACGGCAAGATGCTGACAGAAACATATACTGTGGAAATCACAGCACAGATGCTGGCTACTGATCATTAAATATGGAGCCTTCCTACACAGCTATACTTTCCAAGGCAGCAGAGAGGCTAGGGGGACAAAAAGAAAACAAAAAAACAAACCAACACACCCACAAAACTCTTTAAAAGAAACCTCTCCAAGGAGAGGAGGAAAAACAATTAGAAGGGATTATTATTTTTCTAGCCACATCCCTGACTTCTTTTTGAACAAAGGCAGAGGAGAAGGATGGCCTGCTGTGCAGAGCCAGCACAGGCCTGTAAACCCTGGGAAAGATCATGTTGCCACGTAATCCTGCTGTGTGACACAAGCGCATGACCTGCGCCAGCTGCTGCTACTGGAGGTGAGGTGAAGGAGTTCAAAGCTGAACTCTTCCAAAATCCACCTGTTCTCTGAAGGAGTCAGTATTTAAGACCTGATTTCAAGGTGTAAGCAACCCTGGCTTCTCATCCTGCCAGTGGGAGGAACAGGCAGAATCTTACCATGTGAGAAGATGAAGTCTTTTAATAATATAAGAAACTTTGTTGCACTATGTTTCATTTCTGCGTGCCTTCAGGTTGTAAGGCTGTTGAGCAAGAAATTGCCCCTTTTCCAGCATAAATCCCATCCACAAATCATATTAACAGGCCTTAAATATTGGGGATTTATTCAGTGAGTTTTTTCACTGCACAGATATTAGCACATTGTTTAAAGGTGTGCATTGTTTACAATAATTAAATTTAATGATTCAAACAGACTGCTAGTTGCAGCCAAGAATTTACAAACATATTCAGACACTAAGATCTCCCTGACTTGATAGCTCAAGGTTCTGCCCTTTACCTGCAACAATCCAACCTCGACCAGGGCTGGATTAAAGCACATTTAACATCTCCTGCTGAAAATGCCAGCATATTTGGATTATGGGGTTATATACTGGCCTAACCTCTAATTTGAAGAAATGAAGTCACTTGTGGTTACTTACAATACGGACCCAAAACTGTGGAGTTCATACAAGCCAAACGAAAAAAATAAATACTTATTTGGTCTGAAAACCGTCTGTAAGAGCAATACTTTCCCCGAGACGGGCTCCCTCAATGTCCTGCTGGGACGCTGGGGCAGGGATGTGTGCATTTGCACCCTGTGTGCGAGGGCAGGCGCTGCCACGCGTGCCCGTGTGGGTGAGGCCACGGCGAGGGCTCTTGGGGCAGCCGCCTCCCACAGCCGGCCCTCACAGCCTGCGGGCCACGGCCTGCGCGCCGCTCTGCGCAGGGGCACGGAGCTCTTCCGGACACAGCCACGCGGCACCGCGCCGGCCCGTGAGGGGAGCGAAGCCTGCGGGACGCATTGGCAAACCCCTGGCCAGGGGGAGAGGAATAAGGAAGGAAGAAATGACATCCCGGCTCCCGAAAATCCCGCGGGTGAGTCACGGCGGGCGGGGAGGCGGCGGCGCCCCCTGGCGGCGGCGGGCGCGGTGGTTGTCACAGGCCGGAAAGTCCCTGCGCTCTGCCGGTGGAAATCCCCGGTGGGGGTTTCTGTGTTGTGCTTTCAACCTCTTTTTTTTTTTTTTTTTTTTTTTTTTTTTTTTTTTTCCCTCACCCGGGCGCTTAAACAGAAAGGGAAAAAAAACAAGAGGCTGGGCTCAGCCCTTCATTCCGCATCGGCGGCAGCAGCAGCAGCAGCAGCAGCTCCGGCGGGGAGAGGGTGGAGAGAAGGGAAGGAAGGAGCCCCGGCGCGGTGGGCTTTGATGGATCCCGAGCGCGGCTCCGTCCCATCGCCTCAGCCTCGCTGCTGAGCAGCAGCCGGATCGGCCGGAGGAGGAGCCCGCCGCGGAGAGGTGAGCGCCGCTCTGGGCAGGGCGCGGCGGAGCCCGGACACTTCAGGAGGAGGGCGCCG